TTAACAGTTTCACGCCAAAAAGCTCCAGCAAACTTCATGGATTGCAATAGCAACGTATTGCTTCAAAACATTTCGTATAGAGACCATTTTTTACTATAAAGCGTGAAATTTGCAATTATAATGAAGTACGGTGCAATTTTTCTCAAGAATATCATACGAATTTTTTTCCTACTCCGATCTTGCCGTTACATGTTGTCGCAATTGACGTGTGCTAGAGGAATTGTCAAGAGAATCGACTCAAGTATGTTAAGGCTATCCCTTATTTCTTTTGGCATGATCCATACGACACAAACGAAACGAGAAAATGCACAATTTTCATACATGACTCTATTCATAAAAATATTAGAGATGCTTATGTTCTTGATTCTCCATGTGTCATATTATTTTATCATCTGTTCATGAGTCTCAAAAATACGTAAGTTGGTAAAGGTTATTTCATGATATTAATCAAAGATATAATGGTCTTATGACGTACTAAGAAATTTTCTTAACGTATTTCATATGCATTTCATGCATTTATACATGCACATTGACCCATGACCAGATGGCGTTATATACGCACCACCACCTGATCAGCTGGTATACGTTGATAATTTTGCCCACAATGGCCGAGATGATATGATGGGATGCCCTCAGAGGCCGATGATGTTATAAAACATGTACCTATGCACGATATGACATTCATACGCATATGCATGACACTATAATTATTTCATGATTTACAGAGTTATCCAGACTTACAGGTTGAGTCATTTACTCTATATTTCTTCCATGTCTGTTATGTACTTATGTGCCTTACATACTCGGTACATTATTCGTACTGACGTCCCTTTTGCCTGGAAACGCTGCGTTTCATACCCGCAGGTTCCGATAGAGAGGTCGAGAGTCCTCCAAGTAGGCCATCAGATCAGCGGAAGATGTTGGTGCGCTCCATTTGCTCCGGAATTGCTTGTTTGGTCAGTATGATTTGGACGTGTATTGTTTGGTATGGCGGGGCCCTGCCCCGACCTTTGTGATAAGTATGTACTCTTAGAGGCTCGTAGACGGATGTCATGTATACGAATGCTTGTATGGCCTTGCCGGCCTATATTTTGAGTTTACAAGTGACCATGTTGGCCTTATAGGCCCGTATATCACATGTATAAGTTTTTATATCAGGTTGGGATCGTCATATATTGAGTATTCCTCTATGTTTATTCTGGTTAGCCCATAACGGCCCGTTTGGCCCATTTGCCAACGAAAGTATAATAAGAAAGATAAATTATATTGGTACTCGGTTAAGTAAGGTACTGGGTGCTTGTTGCGGCCCATAAGTTTGGGTCGTGACAGTTAGGGCCCTGTCCCGACTTGGATATGTCAGTCAGATGTTCTTAGAGGCTTCATGGATGTCTATGATCGGGTTCAGTCATGTACATGTTTGGTATTCTGATCATATGGACAGAGCATCTTATAGTTCATGTTAATAGATTTACTGGTTTACTACATCATGTTGACGATTACAGTTTCATAGTAGATGCATATAGCATGCATGTAGAATGTAGTCCGTCCCAGTCGAGACTGGGGCGTGACAAATAATATTCTCCTATTTTTATATACCTAGACTTGTATTATTTTCGATGTTTCTTTTGCATCTGTTTTCTTGTTATCCTGTTGTTGATGGTAATATGCAGTGTTACTATTGTCTTTTCATGGTTTGTGCACTATTTTTTTTTTTCAAAAAGTGATGTGGCTATGCTTCACCTGAACCGAGGGTCTATCGAAAACATACTCGCTATCTTCACAAGGTGAGGGTGAGGCGACATGCACACTACCCTCCTTAAATCCACTTGTGGAATTACACTGAGTTTGTTGTTGTAATAATAATTTTANTATATATATATAAAGAGTTAAATCCCCCCTTGAAGAGGTTTAGTAAGCAAAGTGACATAACATTCACCAAATCTTAAGTAGCAAAATACGTGGGCGGTGGGCAGAAGTGTGCACGACTTAATTCGAACACCATTTACATATATGCACTACTTTTTCATCAAATCTCTACTTGAATAAGTAAATTGTTATAAGAAAATTAAATTATGGTGGATGTCTACTCTTCCTCCATTATCTTTCTCCATAATCTTCATCTTAAATGCTTAATGACATATTCAATGATATATTTTTCTTCACTTTTCATGCCTATATAAAGGACTTCTAATAGATAGAAAAATATACACAATTGAAGAAGAAAATCTCTTCCTTCTCTCTATCTCTATTTCTTGTTCATGTTTTACTAAATTGCTTTTATTTCAAAACAAGTTATCAGCATGAATTGCTATTTTATTTGATAGTTAGTAAAAAAAAAGACGAAAGAGGCAAGGAATTGATTTTGAAGATAAAGTTGTTAACATTGGCTTTTTTCTTCAAGTAAGATGCCACACTTAATTTATGATTTTCATTTTGTTTTACTAATGTCCAAGCCTTCCATGAGATTTTCAGTGAACTTTGCCAAGTGATAAAGGTAAATTTTGCATTTATCTCGTCAGAGATATTTGTGGTAAGATTGATTTTACTATTACAAAAGATATATGCACATGTAATTATACATAAAAAAAAATATATACTACAAAATGCTAGGCGTCTATGGCATATAAATAGAACAATAGATTTATTGGTGACACTATTATGTTTGTGATGATGACCTATGTTGTATACTGTTTAATTTATTTCTTCTTATATGTATTAGTTTAACATTTTTCATCACCTCATCAGTTAAACATGTGATCATACAATCTCAATCTGGTCAAACACTATACCTTCTTGTCCCGTTAATAAATTAGTACTTGCATTTCACATAAATAAGGAAAAGTAATGCTAAAATAAATAAATTTTTAGAAAACTGTGAGTAGATTTCGTTGTTTTCTTATGGCAAAAGGCATTGTTTACCTTTTTAGTTAATGAAGAATACATGTAAGAGATTTTATTTGTTTTCTTTATATTTGACCATGTCATGTATTATTGTTCATGAAAAAGATCTATGCTAGTTCTAATTAAAAATTCGAAGTGATAATATTTTAAAGGCTAAGGGTGATTCTCAGTTGCACTTTGGCCTATTATGCTATTGGTTAAGGGTAAGACGGTGGGTTCAAGTCCTATCGCACCTTGAGGGTAAGACATCGGGTTTAAGTCCTAGTGCACCATGATAATAAGATGTTGGGTTCGAGTCCCAATGCATTATGGCCAAACATACCTTTATATGGGTAAGGCATTGAGTTTGAGTCTCAGTGCACCATATTGACGATATAATAATGACTAAAGAAAAATAATATATTTTTCATTAAAAAGCATGAAGCTTGTCCCACTTGATTCGCTCCATTCTTGAAGTGAATGTGATAGCGGTGCATAATAAATCTAAATGAAGACAAGTGGTTGACCAATGAACATGGGCGTGCCAAAGACCAAAATAATAATAGTCATCATTATGGTAATTGTAAAAAGAAGAACAATAAGAGTTCTCAAAATAATCCTTCAAAGGTGAAGGAAATGTGTATCAATATGGTCTGTAAAATATGAGGTACGTTCAGACGATTATAGTCCATTTTTTGAAAGAATGCGACTTATGATAAGTATTGTAAATGCAGACTCATTCCTGAAAGTGAATGTCGAAATATATATATGATATAAATTATGCATAAGAATGTGATTATGCATGGTTAAATAAATACAACAACGCATCTCTACTGGGAGGTTTGAGAGAAAGAAAGATAATGAACATTACTGTGTGATTACATGAATATGTTATTGGTCACGCACATATGGTACGTCGAAAATATTTTGACATCTCTTATAAAAGGTTATTAAAGACAAAATTAAAGCAAGAAATGATTTTGCTTATGATGATTTTAACCATGACAATCATTATGATATGATTTTATCCGTGAAGGAGACATTCAACATATGAATGATGTGACAAAAGATCTTGCAGTACAAAATTAATTCAAAGCTCTGAAAGAGCTAATTTATTACTACCTATATGAGTGAAATTGTTCATGATATTGATATTGTAATAAGTCTCAAAAGAAACTTTTTGGGTTTCAAATATATTAGTCAAAGTGGTTGGCATATTGAGACTATAAATGAAAGGAAGATTTATTATCTTCATATTACTTTAATCATATCGGGTAATAATAAAAGGTCACCCGATTTTTCTTCTATTTGTACTACACAAGTATAAGCATAATGATGGAATCATATGCCATAAGTAAACTAGAGGTTTACTGAAACAAATATTAGTTGGCATGACCGGTTGGCCATCCCGGTTCAATTATGATGCGAACATTAATTGAGAATTCACATTGGCATTTATTGAATAAATATAAGATTCTTCAAGAATTCTCTTATGCTGCTTATTTTCATGATATACCAGTTAAGGTTGGGATTGAATCCCTTGATTTCTGGAACGAATAAAATGTGATAAATATATGGGCCCAGTCACCTGCCATGTGAACCTTTTATTATTATATGATTTTAATAGATGCATCTATTCTATAGTCATATGTGCATTTTGACTTTTGCAAGATTACATGCTCAAATTATTAGAGCAAAGTTCTAAAATATAAATTATGATAATTTATCTTGATAATGCTGGTTTAAATCCAAGTTGGTTTACTAAATTACTTTTATTTCGTAACATAAATATTTTTTTTAGGTGAAAATTATTTTATAAACTTTAATGGACAAAATATCCAATAGGGCGAAATAACCACCGTCATAAAAAAAAAAAAAATTCTCTTTTAATTGTGGGATTAGGATTAGGAAGCATCTATTCCCATTCAAAGTTGAATATGACATGTTAAAGGTACCCCCTAGGCAGCAATATTCTATTTTCTATTACAATATGTACCCCTCGTCCCAAATTTTTATAAGCTAACTAAAGTGAAACTCTCCCTCTAATCCAAGGGTAGTTTTGTCCATTCATACAAGGGCGGCGAAGACCCAACACAATATATATTGACCCTTCGACCTCTACAGAAATCAAAATATTAGGTTTTGCGTTGTTCATATCAAAAGCGAACAAAAAAAGAGAAGATGATAGAGGTGGTGTTGAACGATCGATTGGGGAAGAAGGTGAAGGTGAAGTGCAACGAAGATGACACCATCGGCGACTTGAAGAAGCTGGTTGCTGCTCAGACTGGTACACGCGCCGACAAGATTCGTATCCAGAAGTGGTACAATGTCTACAAAGACCATATTACCCTCAAGGACTACGAAATTCACGATGGCATGGGCCTTGAGCTCTACTACAACTAATTCAAACCAATAGGTAATTTTTGGAATATACTAGAATTGTGGCGATTTGAGTTTTTGTTTGAGTTAAGGAACTTTTGTAAATATGAATTATGATTGAGTTTTTACTCCCCTTTTTGATCAGCTGATGGGTTGATTTTATGAATTATGATGTTGTGTTTAGTTGATATTTGTGTTTGATCTGTTTTTTTTATATGTTTTGGTTGGCATGGAATTGATTTGTTAATTTGCGTATGTGATTGATTTTTTACTTCCCCTTTTGGTGATTTGTTGTATGTATATGTTGTTAGGTATACGAAAGTTTTATGCAGTTTGAGTGTTTGGTGGTCTGAACTGTTGTAGTATTCGTGAATGCATCCCTCTGTATTTTGACGGGGGCTGTGCCAAAGCTTTGAGAAATCCTCTTTTATTCAAATTGTAAGATGTGGAAAAGGTGTTTATTCCCAACTGGTTGTTGCAACATGTTGCTAAAACTATGTAGCACGGTATCAAATATAGTAGCGCATACACTTTTATGATACCATCAAGTTGGTAACCCTCAGGGGTTGGCCTGGTGGCAATTGACTTGAGCCTTGGGGTTTGCTCCCTTTCAAGGTCTCAAGTTCGAAACTCATTGGGTGCAAACAATTTCTGAGGGTCATCGGACTGGGTAAAACCTGAATTAACCGTGGTGCACTTGCGGGAAGCTCCTTGCCGAGGGCCTGTGCACCCCCGGGATTAGTCGGGGCTCAAAGAGACTCGGACACCCGGTGCAAAATCAAAATGATACCATCAAGTTGGTGTCTTTTCTCTTTTACAATAACAATAACAATGGCTCAGCTTGATACAAGTTGGTGTATTCTCTCTTTTAGTTGTAAAAAAATATCTTGACATTGGACTGATGTGTTTTTTTTTTTGGTTGTTGGTCGCTTGAGTCCTTGTTACTTGGGTACCATAACCTTCAAACTGTTTATGATTCGGAAAGTTAGAAGTTATGCAATCTTCTACTTTGAGTTATTTCGGCTGTTTTTGGTGACAGCAATGTACTTATGACTAATGAAATTGGTGAAATATGCTCTCAAGTTATTAAAGAAAACGCCTTTTAGTGCCATATTAGGATGTATGCAAAATATATAAAAACGAACAAAGAAAGAAGTTATCTCCTAATAATAGTCCGATTGTTGTGAAAGTTACTGAATGAATCTATTTTATTCTAATTCGATCTATGAAGAAAAAAATCACGCTCTGTAGGATTTGAACCTACGACATCGGGTTTTGGAGACCCACGTTCTACCGAACTGAACTAAGAGCGCTTTCTTATCAGAATAGATAAGACTGTAAACAAAAGGATTCTTTTCATAACCCCAATACATTTTGTATGCATATACTAGAATAGCATGATAAAAATCAAAGATTATGTCCAATTTGAAGCGATCTCAATTGATCCCTCGTTACTGCTCAAAGGAACAGTAATAGGTAGGGATGACAGGATTTGAACCTGTGACATTTTGTACCCAAAACAAACGCGCTACCAAGCTGCGCCACATCCCTTCAATTGTTCCATAGTGTAATTATAGAGAATTCCTGTCTTGTTTTCCACATGGTTATTTTNAGGATTTGAACCTGTGACATTTTGTACCCAAAACAAACGCGCTACCAAGCTGCGCCACATCCCACATCCCTTCAATTGTTCCACAATGTAATTGTAGAGAATTCATGTCTTGTTTTCCACAGTCTTCGAGTCTTGACTACTTTTCCGCGCGTCCTTGCTACATCGTTGGTGCCCAATGCTTCTTTATTTGGGTAGCAGCGGCTCAATAAAAAAGAAAAAGTTACATTCCCCATTGAACTTTAAAAACCATGAAATAATGCGTAATATCAAACTATATCAGAGCACTGACTCCCTTGGTGCTCAATGCTTGTCTATTTGGGTAGCAGGGGCAACTGCATATGCAGCCTTACCCACCCAAGATATTTGTACTCAATAAAGCTCACCGCCATAACTGTGATGAGGCAAGCACAATGAGTGGTTTTACTCACGGTGCTTTATAGAATTAAGAGTGCCTAGTCTTTGGGTATCGATGAGCTGTTGGTTTAGGCTTCCTAGAGAATCATTTGTCTTTAGAGCAAAGCACCTTGAATAGGATGTGTGGACGTAAAATGAAACCAGGGATGTTCCATGAATGCTCAATGTGAGACATTCTATGTGGAAGACAAGGCATGTGGTTCTGTCCCCCATGTTGCCTTTGCTGTATTCTGAAATTTCAGAGGATTACTCTTCGATAGAGTAATTGATACATTGATGACATTTCTTTATAGTATACCACTTATTTTGTAACACTGTGATAAAGGATCTTCTACTGAATTGCTGGTGTGATATTGCGGGAGCAAGTTTTGGTTTGATTGTGTTTCCAGTGCATTGTTTACTGTAGCATATCTATGTATTACTCTTTGCCGTTGATATTCATTATTTCCATTTCTTATTTTAGGTTTATTTTGTGATGGAAATACGCCGGGGACGTATCTGAGGTACCATGTTCTGAATAAAAGCTTGATCGTTGGTTTGTAATGAAAAGTTTGACATATTTAATCGACTCTAAGGAAAATGCTCAACTTTGTGAATGCTATGTAACTGGTTGGTATTTTACCTTGTGTGCAAGGAATTATATCTGTGCTTAGAGATTTTCTCACTAGAAAAACTGAGGCTGGATGTTACCTTTGGCTATGTAAAATAATAGAATTTGTGACTGAGCTTCCTTGTTCTTTTTTTGTTTGTTTGTTTAAAGTTAACTGTTGGCTTACCTCTAAAAAGAATCTGAACTAGATTCCAGACATTTTAACAAATGCAGAACATTTTTAAACTCATGGGTCAGGTTTTGGGATGGGTAAAATTATTTGGGTCATGGGTTCTTCTTTTACTTCAAATTAACGATTGATATTGTATGAAACAAAATGAAAGTGGAGTGATTTTGTAGTTAGAAAAATAAGTTTGATGATTTTACGGCATGTGTACTTTATGTTCAGATTCAGCGACCTTTTGTGAAATTAATCCAAAAGCACTGCTATCATGGTAAATATTTAGTTCGACTGATACTGGGAAATTTAATAGAGCCTGAGTACTATTTCAATTCTAGGTTTATTTTGGGTCTAATAACTCGGTATCCAAAATCTATTGGCTAAAATAGTTAAGATTTGCGTCGCACATAGCCTACCAAAGTAGTCGGTACTCCGTCCAGAGTTCAAGCAAACTGAGAAAGTATCAACAAGCTAAAGAAACCTTATAATAAAAAAGTCGTATGAGATTGTTTCTTGTTGCATGCTCCTGTCCAAGATTGTGTCACATTTTGGAAACTTCCATTACATCAAAACCTTTATCCAGGATTGGAAAAACCGCATAATTAGTTCCACTGATTGGGTCTTGGATATGTCCTTTTCGTATAGTGTCATACGAGACTTCATGACGTTTGGACAAGAACGCTTTAGGATAATACTTCCTCCATTTTATTATTTGGTAATTGGTAATAACCTGTGAAATTACCGTTAACAACTAAACTTTACACACTTAAAAAGAGCATCCAGTGTTATAACCCTCTTCTAGGAAGGTTGTTCTTAACAACTAGACCTCGAAAGCTATATGAATACAAGGCAGAGTTCACTATTGAGTCCCAAACTAGTTTCATAATCTATTAATGAAACAGTTGTTCCTAAGAGTAGTCCTGTATCTATGCAGTTCACCTATGCTTTTCCTAAGCTCATTCTGAATCCACTTCATAGTATACTCAGTATTTACAGTGGCATTCCTGAACAATTACCAGGTGTGATAGATCATTTCCTTCTTATATTGCCGCCAATGTCTTCTTTTGAACAATTCTAAATTCTGCATGATCCCTTTCTTCTGGATGGGAATCCCAGCCTAACTAACCAGTGCATTTCTCACTTGAGTTACCCAATTACATTCTGCAAATAGATGATACTGTGTTTCAGGAACACCTTCCTCACAAAGACAACAATTTCCATCATCAACCTGTATATTCAGCCTCTTTTGTTAGCAGTTTGTCATGGTAGGCAAGCCACACAATTACTCTTTGCCTTGGCATCATAACTGATTCAGTCAGTCTCCTTCACTCTATTTTGTTCCCCGAGCATAGCTACATAGCTTTTAGTCACAGAGTAAGTAATCACCCTTTGGAGTTAATGTGTACTTCCCTCTATGATACCAGCTTATCATTTGCCCTTTCAACGACTTTAATTTTCTCCAATACCAACTGCTATCTGTTCCCATATATTTGATGGGCGTAAAATTTAAGAAATAAATTTGGCACATACTAAAAGAACTTTAAAACTTGTGATTTTGGATATATCAAAATATATCTTTAGCTATAAAGTATGTCACTAAAGTTAAAATCAACAACAACAACAACCCAGTATAATTTCACTAGTGGGTCTATTCTGGGATAGAGAGGCTGTTTCCGATAGAAACCCGGCTCCCTCCCTCCAAGAACTCCCCACCTTACTCTTTGGGTGACTTGAACTTACAACCTCTTGGTTGGAAGTGGAGGGTGCTCACCACTAGAGCAACCCACTCTTGTCTTCACTAAAGTTAAAATATAATAAATTTTAAATATAAAATTATGTCATTCTTTTTAAATTATACCGGAAAAAAAAAAAAAGAAGTGTCATATAAAATGAAGCATAGTGCTTGAGGAACATACTATTAGCCTAATACAGGAATAAATTATTGTGATGATTACTTTTTTAGGATAATAATGGTTCTACCAATATTTTACTCGAATTCTTGGTATCAAACTATAGTGGTCTTTGACACCAAGTACGTACAACAACTGTCTGGATACTCTAGGTGAGAGTTTAGATGTTGAGGAAGTTCTTCTCGATCAAGCTTTCAACAGTGTCCTTCACGCTCAATTCAAGACATGTGTAATTGATGCCTAAAGTGTTTGCTCTTTCCCCTGATATTTGAAAGGTTGGTGTAAGGGGCAATCCATTTTCAAAACTACATCCAAACCTCAAAAGTTGCTTTAAATAGAACAAAATAATTCTTAGTAGAACTATTTAACCATAAGAAAGTGAAACATGAATGACTATAATAGGCATTTAAAATCAGCTTATTTTGAAAAATATTTTCTCAAAAGTACTTTTGGTGAGAAATAAGTTTTGTTTGGTTAATAAATTTGAAAATCACTTTTGAGAAGCAATTAATGTTTGGTTAAACTTTTAAAAACTGCTTCTAAGTGTATTTTTTTCAAAAGTATTTTTGGAGAGAAACTACTTTTTTTTGCTTCTCCAAAAATGCTTCTGCTTCTCCTTAAAAATATTTTTTTTTCCTTCTAAAAGCTTGGCCAAACACTTCAACTTTGAAAAAAAAAGCATTTAAAAAAAGAAGAAGAAGTGATTTTGGCTTTATAGAAGCTTGGCGAAACAGCCAATGTGTAAATAGTCCACTTTTAATCCCAAATGATTATTTTAACTTATTTATTATAACAAGAAATGACAATACTTACTTCCCAGGGATAGTGATGGAAGGGTAAAGCTTTTGTACAATCTTCAAAAGCGAAGAGGAGTAACCGTTTACCCCAACTAAACAATATCTTCCATTTGCTGAAGGAACCTCAAATGCTAGAATATGTGCATTAGCAACATCCCTAACGTCGACAAATTTATAAATTCCACCAGTCCATGCTTCTTTTCCTTCATCAAATTAAGACAATGTTTTAAAAATGCAACTTTGCATTTATTATCAAAAGGATATCTGAAGGGGTCACATGACAGTTGAACAAGTTTACCTTCTTTTATGAAGTTAACTATAGACTCGCAAGAGGAATTGAGCGTAGGCTGTAGAAGTGGACCAATGACTAGACCTGGATGAAGTGTAACCAAATCAATCCCATTCTCTTTCGCAAATTCCAAAGCTGCTTCTTCAGCCAGGGTCTTGGAGAGTTGATACCATTGCTGCAAACAAAATAGACCTTTAATTAAGAGAATGCTGATATATTCTATTACTTTCTCATATATAAAAGGACACATACTTAGCATCTCAATACAGATAACGCTTTGTTTCACACTTGGTACAACAGGGAGTGCAGAATTAAGTAAATTTCTGGTATAAGAACCATATCTTACTTGGGCACATTAAGTTCAGATAGCACGCGCACACACAAAGACTAATGTGTGTGTGTGCAGAGGCGGACCTATGTGTTACAGTGAGGGGTCACCGGAACACGTAAGCTTCGGCAGAAATCTTGTATATGTATATCCTTGAAAACGGTTACTTTAAAGCACTTGGCACCCTGAACACTAAAAGCCTTTAGGAGACACTGGTTGCGCTGAACACTATACCCCCGTCGCGTAAAAATCCTGGGTCCGCCTCTGTCGGTGTGTATCCTTAACAGATTTAAAAATCCCAACAAATAAGCTATACTATTATATAGAAGGAAATAGCTTTGATTTTAGTGATGGTAAAGCTTGATTCTGTGACATAATGCAACGGCTAAAAAGATGGTCAAACAAGATCCAAACCTCTTGCTATATTAATCAAAGGATAAGACTCATCAAATTGAAAAGAACTACCAAAGTCACCTTCCTTTCCTCGCAGAATTCTGGGTCCGAATACCAAGTCTCATCAGCCACAGCTCCAGGGATCAACGGTTTTTATTGCATATAACAGAAGCAGTAGAAGCAGTTATCACCACTCTTCTGACTGATGGTGATTTGGCACATGATCGAACGACATTTAATGTTCCTTTTACAGCAGGTTCCACAAGTTCCTCCTGAAAGATATGGAAAAAGAGAATGTTTTATTTTTAAAGTTACATACAAAACATGCTCCTCTTTAAAGACATTTCTTGGACATCAGTACACTAATTTAATAGAGAACTATGTATACGGTCAAAATCGAGTTTGTCATTCGTAAAATCAGTCAAGATTGGAACATAATGGACCGAGGGTCGTCATTATAATATCGAAGATATGATGTGAAGCCGGGTTATCGAGCTCAAGACCCAGACCGATCAATACCGAGCTCGGGTCAATATCGAGCTCGAGCCAATATCGAGCTCGAGTCAATACCGAGCTCGAGTCAATACCGAACTATGATGTGAAATGGTATTATCAAGCTCGAGATCCAGAGACCAACCAATACCAAGACCGACCAAGATCGAGCTAAGGGACAAAAAGTCGTTGTAGCCGCACTAGGGGAGAGAATCTCGGCGGGAATTAAGGAAAAACTATTTAACTAATCTATCATGGGATCCCTACTATGTATTTTTAATAATATCCAAAGTAGGATTACTCTACTATATTAAGAGTGGCTGTCATTTCTGTAAGGGGAGGACACTCAGACATCAATACACTCTCACATTTCAGAGATTATTGAGATTTACATATATATAATAAACATTATCCTTTTTTGGGGCTTTTTACATTGGCTCATCTTGTTCATTTATAAATCATTCTCTACTCAATTTGGGTATGCATTTCATTCCTTTTTTACAGTCAATATTCGATGTATTTCTACTTATTTTTCCATTTTGTACCAACTTATACCACGTATCCTTAGAACTACGTATAAATTCAACTCTATTCGATTTTCGGGTAAACAATTTGGCGCCCACCGTGGCACTAAGGATAACAGTGATTATTTGGTACGAATCTCTGCAAAACACACCATTTTACGCTTGCTTATGGAAGTATCTTTGATTTCAGATTAAAAACGACGAACTCTCAATTAATGGCCCTACCTATTGACA